CACCTCACTAATATGGGCATCATCCAAGTGATACCAAGGCCAGAGGCAGAATTCAGCTGTCAGCTCTAGGCAGGGATGGAGGTACCATCGTCTCCCCAGCCCAATACCAGCCCTGCCCATGTCGCCTCTTCTGTACGGAGCCTGACATCCATGGCCTATGCCACGTGGCACCTGCTCCCTCTTTGTCCTGTGCCAGACGAGTGGCTGAATGACCCTCCCACCATGCCCTGTCAGCTGTGTGGGCATCTCAGCCTCCACCGCCATATTCCCGGCACTCCCGCTGGCTCCGGGCACGGCAGCCCCGTGTGCTCATGCCAGTGCCTCCCCCTCCGGCCTGCTCACTCAGCTGTGGTGCGCGTTCTGCCCTGTCAGCGCGAGGCAAGCGGGTGCTCTCGAACGGGCCGCTGAAGGTGACAGGTGTCGGAACGATCGCGGGCGGCCGCTTGATGTTTGAAGGGGGTCGCGTGACGGGCGCCTTGGTGCTGCTCCCGCTCCATCCCCAAAGCGAGGGGCATCCGGCTTCCCGTGCTCGGGCTCGAGGCAATGCAGCAGCTCTGGGGCGGGCTAGCCACAGGAACGGAGGGCAGAGCGGCTGGGTTCCCCTATCCTGATCCCGCATGCGGTGAGAGCCTCATTAAGATACAGGAGGAGACAGAGCGAGCCCAGCCGGGTGGCAGGAGAGCAAAGGGGGACATTCGCTTCAGAAACGCACGGCACTCTTTGGCTGGGATACCTGGGCCCTGATGCTGCAAGTGGCACCAGTCCACAAGGTGGATTGGGGGGAGCAGACCCCGCTTCCTAGAGCCCTCAAAGCCAGACAGCATGGTCCCTGGGGAATGGATCCCCCCTCCCATCCCACTAGGAGCCCAACCTAAAAACCACCGGGAGCCTGTTTTTGAGAGGCACGCCCCTCCCACCCCTGCAGCTACTCACTGACTTGGCCAGAGTTGTGGCCTCCCCACGCTTGTGGAAATCACGCTTTGGCTAGGTGACTGGGCCCAGTGGCTACAGGCCAGGGGCGGAAGGGCTGAGATTTTGCTTCTCTCCAAAGAGTAATTGTGAGTGATGTGGGCATGAACCTGGCACACGTGGCACCATTCAGGGAGTAGGCAGAGCACAGGAGACAGGGCCAAAGGAATCTATTCCGTAGTTATTGGGATGGCCAGGTCTCCAGTATGCAGTGGGGGTAGGGCTTACAACCACTGTAGGCTGAAGCCCCTGGAGGGCTGCGATGAAGTGGGAATTTGCTGTAAGAGTTTTAGGATGCCTATGTGTGCCTCAGTTTCCCCTATATTTCACCTGGCTACTCAGTGTTTGCTTTCTGGGCAGGCCTAGCTGCCTGAGGCAGGATGGGTCATTAAAGGCCAAGGCCAGCCCCACATCAGTGGAGAGTCCGAAAATGGCAACTCCCACCACTGGGACATTGACACCTCGCAGCCAGCACCCCAGAGGGATTTCTCCACATCTCAGCAGGGAAGCTGGGCAAAATCCCCCAGCTCGCAGACAAAAGGAGGGAGAGGTGTGAGTGTAAGAGCTGGCACCTGGTAGCAGTCCGGGCTCTCACCTGGGAGCGGATCAAGGAGGTCAGACTGAGACCCACAGAGTCTGAACAATGGGGCTAGGCTTTAACCTTCAGTCCTCTGGGCTGACCTAAGGACCTCCTCGGTTGCGTGCCAACTGACTAATAAACCCCACCCTACAAGACCTTGGTGAGGTGCGTTGATCCCTGCAGCACGGCCACGTTGCTGCTAAACAGAGCTCGCATGGTGTGAACCAGGAGAGCTGAAGCCCCACGGGAGGCAGGTCGAGCCTGAAGGAGGAGTGAGACCCCTTGGGGGTCCTCCAAGAGACTGTTCCAAAGCCGGAGGTGTAGCCCCACTCCTGTGGATCTGTGACAAGAGCGACGTGATCACCTATGCACACCCTTACCCTGTGCTGGGGCGTTTAGCTCCTGGAAAGTGAAAGGCAGCCTCGAGGAAGGTCTGAGGGAGACACTGCACCCACGAACTCAGAGCCTGCCCCTAGGGTGCTGAGATTTTAGAAGACATTGTTGTCTGGCTCTGGCAGGGAACCGAGCCGCCACGCTGCCAGGGACCGTCAGGCTGGGGCAGAGACGTTGGCAAAGGGGTCAGGACCTGAGGTCATAGGAGGAAGCTATGAGTGAGGAGGGCTTCCTCACCTGCACGGAGCTCCGGGGAAAGGGACTGCAGCATCGCCTGGGGATTTAAGGGAGGCTGGGATGGGAGTGTGGAGCAGGGAGGCAGTTTCTTGGGGGTGGGGCAGCCTCTTTCTGTCCTGACTAGCTCCTTGGTGCTAAGCAGGGAGAGACCTGAACCAACCCCCTGGATCCAGAGCCACCCCGCTGGCGGCTGCTCCAGATTCTGCAGCTTTGCCCCAGCTCCATTCACGCCGGCTGGGGCAGCAAGGCGGCCTGGGCTGGTTAGGAGCAGCGTCCCCTTTTCATACACGCCACTCATGAATACATTCCAGGCTCCCCCTGCCCTGGGAGACGTGTAACCCAAGGCGACATGGAACCTCCGCAGTGAGGTACACTGAGACCCTGGGCCTTTAAGAAACAACAGAGGGCTAACCGATCATGGAGCCCGGGCCAGCTGCTGCTGTTCTTTCCTCCCCAGAACAATAGGCCAATGTCCCAGCCCAGTGCTCCCATTGTATGGGCTGCTGCCTTGTGCAGAGATCCCGCATTGTGCTTGAGTGCATTTCCCTCACACTAGCCCCTTACCCGCCCTGGCTTCTTGGAGGGTTGGGTCCAGGCCTCTGATCCTGCCACCCCCGCTTTTCACGCTCACCCATTGCACACCGCCCCTTGTGGTTTGGTCTTTCTCTGGCCTCCCTCCTGCTTTATAAAGTGACGCTCGTACAGAACAGGCTGAGTTTCTACGTCGGGACAGACCAACAGCCCGGCTGCGCCCCCGGAGCGGCCATGCCCCCCCATCTCAGGCCTAGTATCTCCCCCCACCAATCAGCCTTGCCACTGCCCCTCAGTCCTGAGCCACAGTCCCCTGCTACTCCACCCCCAGGCTTCCCACACACACCGCTCTGCCAGTGCCCCTCACCCCCCAGCTCCGGTAGGGCACCTCAGTCAGCACTTGCCGCACCTCAGTGCCTGCTCCTCTCTGCCCTTCCCCAACCCACCAGCCCCAGCTCCCGCCTCTAGCTTTGCCTGATCTCGCAAAGCCACCAGGTGATCTATCTCCCTGACCAACTCTGCTGAGGCCAGACTGCTTTCCCCCACACGTGGACCTCAGCCCATGCATCAAAGGGCCCATTCTCCCCCGTAGGCTGTTGGGGAGTGAGCCTGGCCAGCTGCCATGGTGGAGTCCAGCTCTGGGGCTCGGCTCCATGGCTGGGGCCAGGGCAGGAACTCCATGCTGGGAGAGGCGCGGGAAGCAGATAAACAGCCTTGCGGGGTGGAAGGTTATGAAATCAGCAGCTGACGTCCAAACACTGGCTGCGTTGTGCCCAGGCCCAGCTTCCCTGAAAGAGTTTCTTTATGCACCGAGGCCAAGCGCGCCTCGGGGAGGGACAACGAGGCCGGAGCCTGCGAAGCAGTATCTGCAGTTAGAGCCACCCTGGGCCAGTTTCCCCTTTGGCTGGTCTCCGGTGCTCTGGAGCAGCCCCAGGCTCGGACGCCCTCGAGGTGCGCTCACAGCAGGGCTGGTTGCAGCAGACATGCCGGGCACTGGGCTGGAGGGGGGGGGGGTAGGTGGCAGAGGCTAGCAGACAGCACAACTGGAAAGGCCGAGAGATACATGCCGCAGGGGCAGGAGTACCACTGGCACAGAGTCACTGCACAGCACTTGCATCTGAGCAAGCTGGTGTTTCTTTTCTGGAGCCCCACAGCCCTTGCCCCGCCAGCTGCAGGCTCCAGGTTCTGCTTGGCAGCCTCATGCCTCAGCTGGGCAGGGATGGGGAAGGAACACACCCAACCCTCAGGAGCCAGCACCTCATTCCCTCTCCCGATCCTCCCAGGACAGGCCCTGTTGCTGCACCCAGACTTGGCAGAGAGGAGCACAGCGGGAGACTACCCCCATGGGCACAGGAGAGCCCTGGCAGCGGTCCCAAGCATAAGAGTTTCTGGGGGGGTCTCAGATAAGCCCCGCAGAGGCGGAGGGACCCTTACCTGGTTGCAGGCGGTGCCAAGACCTGCTAGAGTCCCATGTTAAAAAAAAAGGCAACCTGGACCCACCACTGGGCACAGGGCAGCGCTTGAAGTAGGCCACTTGGAGATGGCCCCTGGCAGCACCCTGGAGGACCATGGTTCAGAGGCCAGCACCTGGCAGAGGGGTGGTTAAGAGCAAGGCTAGGCTCACCGTGTGATGCCAGAGGGAAGTGCCATGGCTTGTCGTCTGCTGGCTAGTCGGGTCTTTGCTTCCCCAGGTCCATTCTTCCGTCAGCCAGCTGATTTCTCCCACCTGTACCTGCCCCATAAAGGCACTGCTGATCCCCTTTCCCCTTCAAACATGTGGCCGCTACCCCTTGGAAAGGGGGTCCGAGCCAGAGGCCCAGTTCAATTGGCTGGGCTGATCTCTGCCAGGAGGAGAAATCCCCAGAAGAAGCAATTAGCCTGGTTGATTTCCCGCACCTCTCCTTCCACAGGGCAAGAGGCCTCTGCACTCCAGCAGAGGGAGGTGCAATGCCTCGAGCAGGGTGGGTGGATTTGCTGGGCAGCCCTGGGGATATTACCAGTAGGCATGGGAGCAGCTCCTGGTTGCTCACCCTCGGTCTCTGCCCTCTGTGCTAACCCCACCCTCCCCTGCCAGACAGAGGTTATGGAGGCACCCAGAGATCTCTGCCGCTTGATTGGGGGAGAGCCCCTGCAGCTAGGCCAAGTAGGGGTAGGGCCCAGGCTAGGAGAAGACATTTTCACCAGCATAGCAGAGGCGAGGCCTCAGAAATCAGGACAGGGAAGAGTCTCTGGGAGTGAGAGAGACAACATGCCCCCAGCCGGCATAAAAGACCCCCGAGGAGGCAGGCACTGCTTTCACTACCATTTAATTCTGTTCTGCATTTTACATACATCATCATAAAAAAAACCCCTCCTCCATTCACCTGCACCATACAGCTCCGAGCACATGGGACAGAGCCCCGGTCACAAGGCAAGGCCACGCCACGCCCCAGGGCGCCCTGCCGCTGCTTTCAACCCCGGGGGGGGGGGGAGAAATCTAGCGCAAAACAACATTTAAAAAGAAAATAAGTTAGAAAAGGTCCAAGTTAGTGTTTTATTGCTACCCGCGAGCGTGCGATGTGTGGAAGGCAGGGCAGGGCCCAGGGGGTGAGGACACATCTCTTCAGCGTGGTGCTGACAGCCCCGCGTCCTAGATAGGATGGTTCCCCACCCCTAGTCAGGCTGCACCTGGCAGCTCTTGGGCACAGGAGCGTCTGCCCAGGGGCCATCTCCCTGGGGAGGAGACTGGGCAGAGGAGAGCGAGTCTGCGTCTCCTGCACACGCTGCCCATTCCAGACCGCTGGGCTTCAGGACGCTGTGCCAGTGCTCCAAACCCATTGTGCCCACGTGTGCAGACTGGCGAGGGGCCAGACATTATCCCCCTAAGCTTTCCCCCTGCCCGTCTGTTCCATTCCTGCCACCAACACTGGGCTGCAGCTGCCTCCGGGCATCCCATCCGCTCATGCGGCGGAGGAAGGGCACTGAGGGGTTGGGGTTGAGGGCAGGCCAGGGGCCAGCCAACATCTCTGCCCCAGCCCTGTTCATCCGGATAGCAGGGGCTAAGAGGATTCCCCAGGAGGCACCTCCAGCTCCTTCCACCGTAACCCTCCACACACACCGGGTAACAGCACCATAGTCATTGGGTCCCGCTAGCAGCGTGCCAGCCTCCGTTACACCTCTGCGTCATACCGTGGCCAGGGGAGCAGGGGGCATGGCTGGCATCGCAGTGCCACAGACATGATGCTGCTGCAGGGGCAGGAGAGGGTTTCTCAAGAGGAACCCACCAGAGAGGAGGTCTGGGTCCAATCTGTGGGAGCAGCTGTGGCAGGCTGCAGGGAGCCCATGTCCCTGAAGGTGCCGCAACATTGGACACTTAAAAAAAGAAAAAAAAAAAAAAAAGATACAAGAGTAAAAAAATCCCTTCCCCTGCCCCTGGAGCTGCAGGCCTCCCAGCGCTCTGCCCAAAGAGAAGTACCATCAATTGCAGGCTCAGAAACCGCTGGGTTTCCAATGCCATTTCACTCTACAATATGCAGAAGTCTAAACTCTTGAACCAAGTACTTTCAGACTGGAATTTCCCCTCATCCGCAGTTAAAAAGAGTTACAAGTACAAATCAGAAACCAATGAAAACACAAGGGGGAAAATATATATTACTAAGGGCACTGGGGCTGTAAGCCTTGTCCTTGTAACTGGACTCTGTATTGCTTGATGTGGGCAGTAGATCAAGTTAATATCCAAAGTCCAATAGAAATGAAAGAATGTTTCCCCCTTGCAGTACACACTGGAGTTTTCTTCTGGGAAAGGAATAGTCTCCAGACTGGCTAGCGGGCTCTTCCCCTCTCCCGACTGCTGTTCTTCCCCGGCTCGCAGAGATCGACAGCCTTACAGGAAGAGGTTCTTCGACGTAATACTATGACTTTAAACCCAAGTTTCTTCCTCTCCCACAGCGACCTCAAAATAGCAAAAACTAACCCCACAACATCTATCTTCCCGTTTCACGGATTCACCCAGTCCCTGGAGAGACGTCAAAGAGGAGCTGAGGGGAATCTGGCCACAGCCCGGAGGGAAAAGGGAAAGGATTTAAGAGTCAAGTGTCTCCCGGAGCCATTTCTTCTGACATTGTCAGTTTCAGGTTATCCCTTCTTGTGCCCAAGCTACCGCAAGTTAACACCAGACCCGTCGGATCAGCCACCTGCCTACACTCTGATTTCGTCGTCCTCCTCATCCGCGAAGGAGAACTCTCTGTTATGCTGTTTGGGGGGGCCGTGCCGGGCGCCATCTGGGATCCCGTAGCTCTGCCTTTCGGGAGATGGGCGGTGCTCCTCCTGCCCCTGTGCTGTGCAGCTAGAAACCGAACTGCTGTCCCTGCTGCCCTGGCTCCGGGCAGAGTCCAGGCTGTAGGCCACGGCCCTGCTCTCATCCTGGCAGGCTGGCGCCATCAGCAGGGAATCTGGCAGGGGCTTCCTTTCCTGGCTGAGCCGGTGGGCTGCAGGTATCCTGGTAGGGCCTCCATCCCGTTGGGGCTCCTCAGGTACCATGGCGCCAAAGTCTTCGTCCTGGTCCCACTGGTCTTTGTCCATGATGCTCAGGACGTCCCCCAGCATTGAGGGCCCCAGGTCGATGTGGAAGGACATGATGGACTCGGCATGCTTCATGCCATAGCTGCTCTTCGGCACCACGACGGGCAAGTCCGCCAGGTCCCCAAAATCGCGCTCATCCAGGCCGGGGCTCTGAGGGCGGGTGGCTGCACCGTTGGGGCGCGGCTTCTCCTCCGGGGCGGCCGCCTCCTCCGGGGCCTTCTTGACAGGGCTCGAGGAAAGGCTCTTGGGCAGCTTCCCGGCGCTTTTGTCGGCCTCCTTCTCGGTGAGCTGAGGCAGGGAGACAGCGTTCTTCACGAAGATGGCCGAGTCCCGCAGGGAGCCCAGCATGTCCCGCCGGTCGCCGCGCGTCACCGACTGCGACCGCTTGCTGCTGCGGAACTTGCGGGACAGCAGGCCGGGCTTGGAGGAGCCCAGCTCCTCGGGGGACTCCGGCTCGCCGGCCTTGCTGTTGAGGAAGGAGGTGTCCCCGAAGGCGTCCCCGGCTCTGCCCACGTGCATGGTGTGGCGGAAGTCGCCCAGCGGGGCGCTGATCATCTCAGCCGTCAGATCCGCCCGTGAGCGCCGCTTGGAGTGGGCCGAGTTGGAGACGAGCTGCTTCAGGATCGGCATTGTCCCGGCAAGGGGGGCCGGGCTGGGCAGCGAGGTCTCGCTGTCCTCCCCCGCAGCACTCACCTAGAGCACGGAGAGAAGAGAGGGCGTGGGTTAGTCTGGGGGAGCCAGACAGCTGGTCATGCTGCCCCACCGGCCCCTTGGGGCGCTCCCCACAGGAGCCATGGCTACCGTGTCCTACTCCCTGCGCCACTGAAAGTATTGGCCGCTCTACAGAGTACTTCTCCCCCGCCCCCACAACCCAGAGCGGCTTCTCCCTTGTCGGGCCAGCCCCCAGCCCTGTTTCCTGCTCAGCCCCCTGGGGCCGGGAAACGTGCATTCGCTGCTGGAATGCGCTGGCCCCGAGCCGCTCAGCTCAGCATCAGTGAATTCGAGAGTCTCTCCCCTGCCCCCTCCCTGCAAACAGGCCTCCCCTACCTCCAGAATCTCCCCCCCCTCCCCCCCGACTGATACAGGAGAGCCTGGCTCAGTCCAGGCTGCAGTCCCTCGCCACCAGGCCCCCTTCCTTCCCATCCCGGTGTCGGAGGACAGAGACCGAGAGGGTATGGGAGGGGGAATTACACCCACCAACAAAGTTAGCCTCAAGCAGCTGATTGCACAGGGCAGGTGAGCTGGGCCACAGGAACCGGAGGCTCAGGGGGACAATGTTATCACCAGCAGTGGGCGCTGCTTTGGAGAGGCTGTCCCTGCCCCTGGGAGCGGTCAGCAAAATGGGTTTTATCCACCAGTTTTCCAGCCTGGCAGATTCCCCCAGCGTTGGAGCTGGCAGCAGCTGCCGTTAATCACGTTCCAGCTCGTTCTCCGACCCTGCCCTGCAGCGTCACTTGGATACAGGGTTTGTCTCTATTTCCTGGGCTAAACAGCCATGGACTGATGTGGCCTGCTGAGAAGCCACCACGCCCCACCCCCAAGCAGTTGGCTCCCTGCCTCTGTCAGTTCACTGAGGGTGCTGGGATTGTGGTAAAGTTTCCATCATAATTATTGGGGGTAGGGTGAAAGACAGTCATGCTGCACCCCACGGCACAAGAGGGGCTGCCCACAATACAGGAAAGTCACAGCAACCCGGAGCTAGAGGCAGTTAACATTCAGCAGCCGTGTGGGAACAATCCTTGCCCTGCTCCAGAGAGGAACGTGAGCACCAGAGAAACTGAGGCAGTGAACCCAAGGAGGGGTTTTGAGGAAGTCAGAAACAAGAGCCTGGCGTGCGCTGCAGAACTGGCTGGTCAGGATGGTTCACCCCATTGCGGCCCTGCGCCTCTTACTGCGGGCAGGTGGCGGCTTTGTTCGAAGCCACATGGAGAAAATGCTTTGGATTTTTCTCACGTAAAGCAAGCAGCGAGCAGCGGACGCTGGGAGGAATTGGAAACAGACGGCAGGAAGTGCATGAGGAGGGCTGGAAAATGGTGAGAGGCCCCGCGAGCTCAAGGCTGCTCCACGCAGCTAAGAGAAAGCCAGTTGCCTTCAATCGGAGGGAAAGGGGCTCAGAGTTTCTGGGACCCAGGGAGAACTGGTAGAAAGGATCCCTCCAGCTCCCCACGCTGCTCTCTTGGGGCTTGTCACACCAGGGCTGGAAGGCCGCGTGAGGCCACCACATCGAATGGGAATTATCCAGAACACAGTTCTTACCCTTTTCCATCCCCGCCCCCACAACGAGCTGGGAGCTAGCCCAGAACCCCGCTTCCTGCTATACATGGAGGGGGCTGTGGCTGGCTGGCTGGGAAAGACAGACTGCTCAGAAACAAGAGACTGACCGGCACGGGCGTGTCTACCCTAGGAAGTCTCCCCACTGCACTAGCATGGGTTCAGCTCCACCAGGGAGAGCACTTAGTGCAGACAGGGTTTAACCCCCAGGATCTAGGTTTGCTCTGAGCCCCACCAGCCAAGGCTTCCCCTGGTTGAGCTGCCGTGGCAGGAGCGTTCCCAGCAGAGACTGGTGCAGACCCAGGCCGAGATTCTCAGCCCTGGGCTAGCTGCAGCCCCACACGGGCGGAGGCTGGGGAGCAGGATGATGGTGGAGCAGCGTTTGCAGCGTTCCAGGAGAGAAGATGGCCCCGCAGGAGGCCAGAGCTCCCTGCTGGTTCGGAGCAGCATGACCCAGGCCCTATCTCCCCAGGTGCCTTGGTAGCAAGGGACAAAGGACACATTTCCTTTCCACCCAGCCCCAGGGGTCCCTAGAGCCGCTGAAGGAGCTGGGCGGCCAGTGACAGGCCAATCACTGCCCCCCGTCCCCAGTATTCAGCATGACGAGCCATGCGGAGTGGGGCAGAAAGAAACCGTCCAAGCTGCCCCGGCATCTGCGATGCAGGGGGAGCTATCCTGGCTCCGGCTCCAAGCTGAGTGGGCTTCCATCCACCGACCTCCCCCATCCCGCTGCATTTGGCTGCGTGCACTGGATTCCTTGGCGCTCGGACACAGAACTGCCTAGCAGCCAGCGTCGGTGGAAGGGGGATCCCCTGGGTCAGAGCTGGCTTTGCTGGGCTCCGTGTGGGGCTGCGCCGGCTTCCACAGCCCTACTGAGAGACCGAACCACCCCCAGTGCTCCACGCCAGCTCCTCATTTCAGGGCCCCTGCACTATGCTGCATCCTCACAGCCAGATTATCTAGGCAGATGCTGGTGGCGGAGGTTGGCTGGGAGCACAGGGGCTCGGACAATGTTCTGCCCTGGGCAGTCTGTGCACGAAGCAGCCAGGACTGGAAAGGCTGAAGGCGGGATCGAGGGGCGCTGGCAGAACTGCAGATGGGGGCAGACTGCCCAGTTCTCCCTCCTGCCCCCTCACTGCCTGAGTCATGCTGCCTAGTGACTGTTTAAGCACACCCCAGGGGCTTGGGGCGATTCCCTGGCCAGGGAGCTGGGACTTTCCCAAGAGGGGTTGGCGATGAGGCCTCCAGGGGGGGCGCCTGCATCAGCAGAACTGGAAGCTTTCCCCACTGCGGGCTAAGGTCACACGCCGCCCCACGACTGGTGCGGAGGTAGCAGTTTTGGCTCGGGAGGGGAGGCAGATGCTGCTGCGGTGCAGAGAGAAGCAGGTCGTGACTGGAACGCAGATGGGCCTCAGAGAGAAAGGGAGACACACACATGCATATACACAAGGCAGCCCTATGTCCTTCTGTTCCGCTTCGATTCAACCATCCTGTAGCGGATTTGAAACCCCCCCTCCCTATCTTAGGGGCACCCAGCGACACCCGTCCCCAGTTAGAGGGACAGGCTCTCTAGCTCACCAGGGTGTCGAGATGGTCTCCTGGTGTTTCTGGCTTTCCACATGCCAATACCACGCTCACAGCCATGGCACCAGCACGCCAAGGTGCCTGCCCTTTGTACCCTCCAAGCGCCTCCTCGAACGCTTCGCAAGACCCGCGGCTCAGGACGCAACGCGAGGTCGCCAGAAGCCAGAAAGTGGCACATGGGAGCTGGACTGAAGGACTAGGCCAGAAGTCTAAGCAGCTGGGTTCTCCCGCCCCCATACTCTCCCTCCAGGGACCCGTCTGTTAGAGCAGCGCGGGAATCGAGCTGTAGACGTCCCAGAGGCTGAGGCCGCTGGGACTCTGGCTAGAAAGGTGCAGCAAGAAGCTTTGGCAGACCCTCCCCCCCCGCTGTTTTGGTTGCTACGGGACAAAGGCTCCTTTCTCTCTACCCCTGGGGGTGGGGAATTAAGGGCACAAGCTGCCCTGGCCCCACATGAGAGGGCACAGGATGCACCAGAGGCTTGTTTCCGCTCGCTGATCGGCTGTCCTGGTAGCCTTTAGCACACATCCCCCCCCGTTGGAACAGACTCGCAGACTCTGAATGTTTCATTTAGGAGCAATAACTAGCCCAGAGACACCAACCCCGCTCTGCAGGAAGCAAATGCAGGGCGTCTGGCTCCACGGGGAGGGGAGAGGAGAGCAGGAAGGGTGCGAACATGCGTCCTCCACGCCCCACAAGCCCGGCTCACGCGAAGCCACTGTACCATTTCTACGAGTGGCGCCTCCTTAGAGCCCCACTGGCCTGCCGAAGGCTGTGGGGCTGCCCGCCCCACAGGGAAGGGAGCCACGCTCCAGGCACCAGAGGGTCACCAGCACTCAGCAAGAGGTGGCCGCCTTGCGTGCCCATCTCGGTGCCCCTTCACGCGAGGCAGTTCTCCTCCCTGCTCTCGGCAGTGCTCTGCCTTCCTTCCCCACCTCTACAGCATTAACCCTGCCCCCTTACCAGCCTCGGATTCCCAGCCCCACGGCATCCCAGCCTGCCACTCTGCAAACACAGTCCAGACCCCAAACTTTCCCCTCCAGACCCCTGGGGCAGAGTCGGCCCTGCCCGGCTCAGCCGCAGGGAATGGACGGAGCTGCCTTATGTTCACCCCCAGAGCAGGGCTTGGCAGAGCAGTGCAGGGACTCTGGTTAGGAAGATGGGGTGGGTCTGCCCCCTGGCCAGCCCAGCCCGCTGTGCGGCAGCTCTTCCAACAGCCGGAGTTCAGGACCCCTTTGGCCTCCCGGTACGCAGTGGCTCCAGCTCTCACGTGCTCCAAGCAGCGCTAAGGAACGGGGAGATCAGCAATGGGGTACGGAGCCTTTTGCTGCCAGGCAGCCGGTTCAGATCCGGCCCAGCTCGGCCGTGCCCCCGGGAAGAGACAAGATGACTCTGCAGAGGCTGATGGGATACAAGTCGGGAGCTTCAGAACAGCTCTCTGCGGCGAAGTAGTGACACCACCTGCCCAAGGGCCCTCTCAAAGCTGGCGGTGATCGGCCCTCTGCTTGCGAGTCTCAGCAGAAGACGAAGGACTGGCTGTGACACAGGAATGCCACTGCCCTCTGGCTAATATGCAGGGTCCCTCCAGGCCAGGTCTCACCCACAGGCGCAGGGCATGGGATACCGGGGGTCATGGGGAAGCCGCTCCCCGTGCTGCGCTGGAGAACTTCAGCAACCAGAAACATGCTCTTGTGGTTGAGGCACCAGGTGAGGATGAGTTGGGTTCAATTCCTGACTCCGCTACTGACTCCCTGTGTACCTTGGGCAAGTCACTTCACCTCTCTGGGCCTCCCGCCCCACCCAGGAAACGGGGAAAATGAGACCGCCTGTCTCCAATCCTTTGTCTAGAGGGACAGCAGCAAAGCCTTGTCTAAACAGACAACTAGAAAGTCTCCTTGGGACCTGGATGGTCTCTCACTTGTGCAGCACCCAGCACAACGGATCTGTGATTTCAGTTGTTGCCTCCATGGTAGGAATCAATCTTCCGGGCTTTCAATCCAACACCTGTTCTCCACACACTGAATAACGGGATATACAAGAACTGGCCTGCGCTTGGAAGGTCCTCGGAAGCCTGTTCTCCTTGCACTTTGTCACGGAGTCCCTGGGCGATGCTCTGGAACTGCTCCCCATGAAGCCAGGCAGGACTCTGGGGCAGTCTCCTTTCTGGGAGCAGCCTGTCTTCAGGACACACAGCTCATACGGCTTCCACCTTCCTGGGTCTGACCTCGGAGCATTCAGCATCCTCTGCCCCTCCGTGCGCTTCCCACAGCGAGTCCGCTCAGGCGGGGCTCCTGGGGAAGCCAGAGGGTCCTGCATCCCAACTTCGCAGTCAGACGTGACTCTCAGCCAGCCAGTAAAACAGAGGTTTATTAGACAACAGGAACATGGTCTAAAACAGAGCTTGTAGGTACAGAGAACAGGACCCCTCAGCTGGGTCCATTTTGGGGGGGGCCCATGAGCCAGACAACCACGTCTGCCCTTGACTCCATGTCCCAGCCAGCCCCAGACTGAAACTCCCTCCAGCCCCTCCTCCTCTGGGCTTTGTCCCTTTCCCAGGCCAGGAGGTCACCTGATTCCTTTGTTCTGCAAAAAGAAAAGGAGGAGTTGTGGCACCTTAGAGACTAACCAATTTATTTGAGCATAAGCTTTCGTGAGCTACAGCTCACTTCATCGGATGCATACTGTGGAAAATGCTGTATTTTTCCACAGTATGCATCCGATGAAGTGAGCTGTAGCTCACGAAAGCTTATGCTCAAATAAATTGGTTAGTCTCTAAGGTGCCACAACTCCTCCTTTTCTTTTTGCGAATACAGACTAACACGGCTGTTACTCTGAAACCTTTGTTCTCCAACCCTTTAACTCTCACCTTGCAGGGGGGAAGGGCCCAGGCCATCAGTTGCCAGGAAACAGGGTGTCGGCCATTCTCTGTGTCCAGACCCCTGCACGCACCTGCCCTCTAGGGCTCTGCAATGATCATACACCCTTACCCCACCACCTAGATACTTAAGAAGTACCTAGGAGAAACTGAGGCACCCCCACACTATTCAGAGGAAACATTAAGAACAGTCCCACTTCGTCACACACTTGCTCTGGGGAGCTGAGCCACCCAGAGATCTTAGCCCAGGGGCACCGCTCACTGACAGAGTGGGCTGTTCCACGGCGGGCACCATCCTACTCCTCTTCCATTTGTTTTACTGCCACTGCCGGACAAGCTGGAGGCCCCGCTCAGAGCTCGCGCTGGGCTTCAGAGGGTGGGAAGCGTTCCCCAGACTGTCCGGCCTCGCTTGGCCACGGAGCGCCCGTGACGGGCACGAGAGAGCCGCCAGTTCCTGAGAGGCGGAGACTCCGGTGGCTGTGCTCCATGTGCCTTCCCTGGGGCAGCCAACAGCGACCAGAGTCTCCTCTCTTCCAGGTTTCTATGGGACAGTCCAGTTTTGGACCCAGCTGCTCAGCCAACTGGACGCTCCAAGGTGCCGACATCTGCCAGACCCAGAGAGACGCTGTCACAATGCAGGGGGCCCCACCAAGGCTGGGGCATCAAGACCTCGCCTTCAGAGTCTGCCCTGTTGGACTAAGTGAGAGAGGCAGCATCTGTGTAATGGATTCATCCACCCGCTCTACAGAGACAGAGCCCCGCAACAGGCCGCAGCCAGCGCGTGCTCATGAGCCGACCTGGCATCCACTGAAGTCTGCTCCGTTTGCCCTGCTGGAGCAAAGTCCTGACGCTTTCTCTGTTACCACTTCCCCAGCCCTGCAGCTTTCTAGCTGGCCCCACTCCCCCCTGCTCTGCGTCCCAGCCTGCCCCGCCCTGCACCATTGCAAGTTCCCCTGCTTTCCCCCACAGATACAGGGTATGTCTACACTGCAATCAAACACCCGCAACTGGCCTGGAACTCAGGCTGCGGGGCTATCAAATTGTAGTGTAGATATTTGCGCTCTGTGGGGCTCTGGGATCCTCCCCAGCCCGAGCCCAAGTCAGCTGACACAGGCCCGTGGAGGGTGTTTTATAGCAGTGTAGACATCCCCACAGACACACCCTGCATGCTCCTCCATTGCTCAGTCGGAGCAGGGCAGACTTCCTGCTTTGCAATCACTTCCATCTCACTGCTCTTGCTTCAGAGAGGGTACAAGGCTCAAACTGTTCTCCGGCTTCCACCCCAATTAAACAATAACCTGTTAGACAATCTCTCCCCACAGTGCCAAGTACTTGGGCGCACAGCTCTTCTGAGCAAGGCTGCAACTCCCCCCGCTCCCCAGCGTCCTTTGAAAGGTTACAGAAAATTAGCTACACAGAACATGCCAAGTGCCTGCCCCTCCCAGGCCGTGCAGAGGAATCAATCCATCAGCCACTTTTGGTACTTGTGTGTCCCCCGTTGGTACAGTGTCTGAGCACCACACAAACTGACCTATCGATCCTTACAACACAGGCTCAGGTTCCTCATCTGAGCCTGCGTAACACGGGCCAGGGACCTGCCCCGTAATCCTTCCTAGAGCACACCTTTTAGGAAAAGCACCACCCTCGTGAGAGAGGCCAGTGCTATATTATCTTCATTTTACAAATGGGGAGCCGAGACATGGACGTTCCCTTCGTCTCTTTACACAGCAAGAGAGTCTCAGAGCCCGGATCAAATGACTCAGGCTGGTGGGGCCCACCCCACAGGGCTAAAAATATCCATGTCGATGCTCTGGCTAGAGCCTGGGCTCTGAGACCTTCCCCTCTTGCTGGGGTTCAGAACCCAGGCTGCAACCTGAACCCAAAACATTGACACTGCTCTTTTGAGCCCTGTTTTTCAGTCAGCTGACCCAGGCTCTGAGACTCACGTCTGGGTTTTAGGCACCGTGTAGACAGACCCAAAGTGACTTGCCACAGGAGGCTTGTGATAGAGCAGAGATTTGAACACCAGGCTCTCAAGGTGCTGTGCGTGGTATCTGAGAAGATACTCCATCTTCTGATTTCAGTTTCTTGGTTCCTATGCCTCACTGTACAGATTCAAATACTACAGAGTCTGTTACTGGACACTGGAGTGTGAGCATTTAGTGGCCGAGGAACGGAATGGGAGCCAGGACTCCTGGGTTCCACACAGTTGGCGGCTGGGTTGAAGTGCAAGTTGGCACTTCACTTTAATTTCTCTCTCTCACACACACACAATTAGCTTACACACTTCTCCTTTTGGTGTCAGTTTCCTACCCATAAACTAGGTTTAATGCACTCATGCAGGGTAAAGTCTAACCAATTCCCCCCTTGCTGGTGTGTCCGATTTCCTTATCTGTCACTAACATCTCCTCGGATTGAAAACAAAGCCTGCTTTTTTCGGTCCTTCTCCAGCCAGGAGTTACAAGTAATGGAAAAATCGTCTCGTCAGTTTCTAATCAGTTTCACTGTCAGGTTCTCATGCCCTAGCTCATTGCTGCATGCAGGGAGAGGATTATGCACTGGCCCACACAGCTTTTCCCTGATTTCATTTCTATTGACCTTCAGTTTCATAGAAGACATAGAAACCCCCCCCAGGCCAGCTCCCCAGCTGGTATACGTCAATGAGAATCCACTGATTTAAGCCAGCTGGGGACCTGGCCCAAACAGCTAACTGTGGGGGCAAGTTTGCTTCTTTAGCATTCTTATGAGACTTTGAAAGCCTTGGCTAAGAGGCAGCAGGAGACTCAAGTGTTACTGACGTTACTGAGTAGCTTTGCCCTCCTCCAGAGGCCTCCACGCTGCTAGGGGCCCAGAACAAGCCATTGCCTTCCTCCTCCTAGCTAGCAGGAAAGGGGCGAATTCTTAGGGCCTTCTCTCTCCCCCGGCAAGCTTCACTCTACAGACCATTGTGTAAGATGGGGGGGGGAGAGGGGATGATTTCACAGAGTGGGTGACTGTAGGGAGCTCTTCTGCATGCTTCCACAGCTCTCTGTCTGCAGCCGAGGCGCTGGGCTTGCCTATGCCGGGAAGTGGGGGGGGAAGAGCCCCTTTCTCTGCTTCTTATTCAGCGAGGAAGAGACAAGATCCCATTACATTCCCGCTGCCGCTTTTATAAAAGCAGAAAACCAGCCCAGAGAAGCTTAACAGCCGCCAACTAATAATCTGCTGAGAAAGCGCAAGTGTAACCCGAGACAAAGTTAAAGACGCAACGCCTGCATCCAGGGGCAGGCGGCTCCAACTGCCCTCCCAGAGCACAGCTTCGCGCCTAGTGCCAAAAACCCATTTCAGAGGGTAGGTGGCTTGTCTGCACTGGCGGAACAAGTGGAGGCCAGAGGGGAGCAGAGATCAGTCACCTGGTCAGTCAATTACACCCCTTTTCCTCCCCCAACGCAGGCCTGCTAAATTTGCTGTCTAGGCCAGGGGGCCTCTCTTCTTTCTGAGGGTCCCCCCCCACAACACGCTATAAAAACTCCCCGGCCCAGCTTTGCCACAACACCAGATTTCCTGCAGATAAAAGCCAGGGCTGGTGTTAGGAGGTAACAAGCAGGGCAATTGCCCAGGGCCCCACGCCACAGGGGGCCCCACGAAGCTAAACTGCTCAGGCTTGATTCAACCCTGGGTGGTGGGGCTCGGGCTTTCTGCCCTGGGCCTCAGCGAGTCTAACATGAATCCTGCTTGGTGGACCTCCTGAAACCTGATCAAAGCCCCCCAGGGGGCCTAGGACCCCTGGCTGAGAACTGCTGCTCTAGGTGGTTTAGGGACTTGGATTGCAAGCTCCTGGGGGCAGGAACCATCTGTTCATTACGAATCCATTCTCCATTACACATACCTTGTGGCCTTTCACACCAGTGCAGCACTTCACACCGGTGCCAGCAGCTACAGGAGGTGCTGGGTGGGAGACTGTTCAGCCAACAAGTCTGTACCATGCCTGGCACAATCGGTCAGAGTCTGCAGAAGAGCAAGGATTGGAACCCAGGAGCTCCGAAATCCCAACCCCTGGTCCGTGCCATGTTGCCTTGCTTCCGCCCCATACAGCCGCACGGATGGCAGGCTGTCACACGGTGGCATGCAGGAGTGACAAGCCGGAAGTCAATAGCAAACAAGGGCATTGACTCTGGGCTTTCCTGACGCACTAACTTAAGCTGGCTCTGACTCGCCCCGTCACCATGACTCGCGCTCTTTTGCCATCCCTACCAAGGCTGGCTGGCTTGAAACGAGAGCCGCCAGCTTTGCTGCGTGTTTTGGTTCACTAGGCAGCGCCCTGAAGCTGGGAGACGGCAGGAGGTTCAACCCCACCCCCCTGCTTCCGTCAGACTCACTGGAGCATGGGCTGGGCTGCACAGTGAGAGTCCCATCTGAAACCTGGCGGAGGAAAGAGAGAGTCCAGGAGATGATCGGCCTTCTACTAGCCAACAAGAATCTCTGCTCACCCCCACCTAACCCCTTTACAGCGCCTGTCTGCACACCTGACCTTAACACCCAAACAAAGAGCCACCTCCGACCCACAGAGCTACTAACACAGAATAGCTGCAGGTGGAGAGTTGCATAATCATCTTATCTCACTGCAGACAGAAGCTGCAATCCTGGACTACCCTTTGCCAAGCAGACCCCATCCCTGAAGACAGAGGCTCATCCTCCAGCCATCAGTGCAAAGACATGGGCGAAGCCCAAGACACCCATGCAGAAGAGCGAAAGGAGACAGTTTTGCCCCCTCCCTTGGAGGTGCCGGTGTAGGACTGACAGACTAGACTTTCAAACAGCTGATATGCCGAACCGTCTATCCATTTATCAGAAGCATCTGCAGCACCTATTGCAAAGCAGGTGGAAAATATCAGGCAGAGAAAATTAGATCCCTATCCAGAGTGTTTGACCAGAGGGAGTCAGGGATCTTGGGCTCTTGCCAGCATAATTTTCCACACAGACAATTAGCCTGTAGAACTCACTGCCACAAGATGTCACCAACCTGAAGAGCTTAGCAGGATTTCCAAAAGGAGTGGGCAGTTCTTTGGATGACAAGGATATCCAGAGTTGTATTAAGTACTAACAAAGACAATAGGAGATGGGAAAGGCTATAAACATTCATGCTTCAGGGGATGAACCAACCTCTAATTAGTGCGGGGAGGGGGTCAGGAGGAAACATTCCCTGGGGCAAGGTTATCCCTTAACTGTCTTGAGTTCCTCTGAAATATCAGATACTGGCCAGTGTCTTTCACAAGATACTGGACTAGACAGACGGCTGCTCTGCTCCAGCCTTGCCATTCCTGCGTCCCCATATTGTGGCTGGGCGGGGGGTGAGGAGCGAGCAGCCAGATTTCTCACAGCCCGTTCAAGACAAGACAATTTATGTGTTGGGAGACTGAAGGCAGTTCAGGGATATCTCACCAGGGCCCAGAACAAATGCACAGAACAATGGGACCTGGAATGCAGCAATCAGCAGAAATCACTCATATCAGCTGAAGCCCTTTTAAACGATTCTCACCCTGGATACAATACAGTCAGGAGGGTCATTAGAGGATTCACCTGAGTTACAGAACCGCCCTGCTCCAGCCCCTTAGCAGAGGGCATGCAGCTTGCAGGTACTGCCTAGCAGCAGGGAAGGCAGGTCATCGCTCCCCTTCACAGACATCAACTGATGGGAGCTGCTGTGGCCAAAAGGTGGCAAACCCCAGCTCTGCTCCCAAGTAGAATCCAGCTTGGATTCCATCAAGACCCAGACTGGTTTGCCAATTGCTCGCCACATAAAGCATGGTCTGGGCACTGCTCGCTGAGAGCCATCCCAGGGCAAGGGCTCCGCTGGGGGTAGAGGGAGGCACACACCTTCCGACTGGGGGCCCAAGAGGGAGGCACTGAATCATTTTCACCCTGGACATCACCTGGAGTCAAGCCATGGTGCTAGCAAGAACAAAGATCTAGCACCAAACATGGCCCCGCCTCATGGCCTAGTGGGCTGGGCACTAGGCTAGAACTCAGGAGACCTGGGTGCAGGTCCCAGCTCTGCCCCTCCTTTGCTGGCAGACCTAGGGCAAGTCACAGCCCTCCCTGTGCCTCTGTTTCCCTACCTGTAAAACAGGGAGAACATGGGCTTGGAGATTTAGGGATGAAGCAGGCTATCAAAGAGCTAGGGATCATCATCAGACGCAGCTACATCCACGTTTTCACATGGGGGCAGAGGTCTAACCCAGACAGGGGCGAAGCTGCCGTTCATTCCCATCTCTCATGCTGCTGGCAGCTAAGCCCCTGCGCTGGATTGAGCTGATGAGTGCAGAGCAGATACTGCCCCAGAGCTCTCCGCAGCTTGGCAGAGCGCCAGGTTCAGAGTCCGCCCCCGCCCCCACGGAAGTCCGTGCACTCACTATGTCCCCTGGAGAGACATGGAGCCAGAGAGGAGCCCGAGCCTGGAAGCTCAGCTCCAGCCCCCTGAACTCAGAGTGCTCAGACTGAAGTCTCGATCTGGTGCAGCTCTAATGAAGACAACAGCCTGCAGACACCTTCAACTAGCCCCCTTCTCGCCCTGCATCAGTGCGGAGCACAGCCAAGGCCAGGGATGTTGCCAGACAACCCAACATCATCAGTCCCAAGCATTCCCGGAAGGGGCCAATACGTCACAGGGTGCAAGGTATCTCGAAGGCGCCTTTAACCAGACACTGCAGCCAATTCTTAGCATTGTCGCACTCTGGCCCCTCACTCAGTTATTCACAACTGATCCCGCAAAGATGCTCCCCAGAATCCCTTGCACTGGTTCCCACCTCCCTTTCCATGGCAAGGTGCTCCTGGCACCCCAGCTGGCAAGCAAGCTGAGCTGTGACTTCCCTGTCTAGCTTGAGGCAGGCTCACACCCATGCACGGGGGCAGAGGTCAAAGCCTGCTTCTCGCAGCAGGAGAAAGCAGAGAGGGCAGGTGGGGTGGAGAGAGGGCGTGATTCCTTGGCCTCCTATTAGTCAGTTACACCCACCCAGAGCACATTTAAACACATCAGACATTCCTGGAGGATAGGTCCATCAATGGCTATTAGCCACGATGGGCAGGGACGCAACCCTATGCTCTGGGTGTCCCTCGCCTCTGTTTGCCAGAAGCTGGGAAGAGGGCAACAGGGGACGGATCACTTGATGATTACCTGTTCTGTTCATTCCCTCTGGGGCACTTGGCACTGGCTGCTGCTGGAAGACAGGATACTGGGCTAGATGGGCCATTGGTCCAACCCAGAATGGCCACCCTTACCCCTCTGCACAGCTCTAAGGGATGGTACTCCTGGCATAGCCGTGGAAAAATCAAACCCAGACTAGGAGCAAGCTGGTCACCCACCTCCCTCTGCCAGCTGCGGGGTCCCCACCAATTAAGAGCTGCTGTGGGCCCCAGGGTGACAGAGGCCTGAGTGGTAGCTAGACAGACCAGGCCCTGACACCGCAAAGGCCGTGTTCTCCCAGCATCTATTTTGAACCCTTCTGGCATCCCAAGAAGGGCCAGCTAAATAATGCATGGTGGCCGGGAGCTGCCCCAGCTGACAGGCCGCAGAGCAGTTAAAGAAACCCAGGCTAAGAGGTGGAAGCCAAACGCCCAGCGCTGCAAAGATCAGATGTATTCTCAGAAGCGTTCACTGCTCAAGGCAAAGCCTGGCTACACCACAACCAGCCAGCGTGTGTTAAAATACAGCTCGCCCCATCCACACGAGGAGGAGTTAGCCCATTTGCTAGAATGACACCTGGTTAGCCTAGCGCCAACAGGCCCTGGGAGTTAGCGGGCATCTGGGGTTACAGTCTCACAGCTCAGCGACCACAGGAGCAGCAAACCCCGGGCCCAGCGGTTTGTTTTGCACGAGCCTGGGGAACTCAAAGCCACTCCAGAGTTAGCCAGAACAAAGTTAGCCATAATCACTCAGAGTCAGGGAAACCAACCGATCTCACTGTCCACCTCCCCAAGTCTGACAAAATCCACAGCCACAGCCTCTCTCCTCCAGAGCTTGGCAGGGCTGCTGGAAGAGGTAACCCTAGCAGGGCCTTTGTATGCCTGGGCCTGCAGCTCTTTGTTCCATCACCTTCCACTCCGCCAGCTGGGCAAGTGGCCCAGGGCCCCCAGTGAGGAGCGGCCCCTTCTCACGGGCACCTCTGGGCACTGGTGGGGGGAGGGCAGGGTGCAGGGGGCTGCACACTGGCCATTGTTTGGCCAGTGAGACGGGGGGGGGGGAGGATAAGAAGAGAAGAGGAATCAAGGCTGATCTGGCAAGGCTGGGCACAGGGCTGGCACAGCCTGCAAGGGGCCCCTGGCACCTTTCTCTCCTCCTAGCCCAGGAAATCCCTTCCTGCAGCCCGTCTCTGCCACAGCCCCTCCTGGGCATCCCGGGGCGTTGGGGCAGGGCGCTCACAGACCCATCGGGCGGCGTGCATTTCGGTGCCTGCCCCCCGTGAAAGCCCGGACCCAAACAAACAGCGCCCCCCAGGAAAAGCCCCTCCCCGAGCGCAGTGCTTGGGTCTCAGCCACCGCCTGCCCCAGCGCCGGTTCCACGGAGCCGCCCCTCCCTTCTCCAGCGGGCCCCCCCCACCGCGATCAAGACACCTACTTTCGCCCCCCGCAGCCCCCTCCTCTGAGCGAGTTTCTCAGGGGAGCAAAGTTCCGCTGCGCCGCGGGCCCCTCGCTCGGCCGGGGGCTCGCCCCTCTCCAGGCGCACGGACAGCCGGGGCGCGCCCCTCGCTCCCCTGCACGGTGCCCGGCGCGCACGCCAGAAGAGCCGCAGTCCATCGCCCGGCCCGTCCCCACCCCTCCCGGCTCGCGTTAAAGAGACAGGGCGATCCGGACAAAAGAGCCCAGCTCTGGAAATTACCTGGGACCCCCCCCCCCCCGCGCGCTCCCGGATTCCCCCGCCCGCTGGCTCAGGCCCAAACCCGGCAGCGGCGGGCCTCTGGCTCCCGGGGGGCGGAGGGGACCTGCGTGGGTTGGCGTGTGCCGGGGGGGGGGACGGGTGCATCCTTTGCCGATGCATGGAAAGAAAGAGACGAGCCGCCACGGTTTGCAACCGCTGCTCTTCGCAGGCCAGGCTCCGGGAAGCACGTTCAGCCCGGCGCGGCGTTCCCTGGTTCTGGGCAAGGGCCAGCGGCTCTTAGTTTGTCAGCATTGACTTTGGAGGG